TTTAAGAGTCGTTATTGTAATCCTTTTGATTTTTTAGCAATAATATTTGCATCCCTGTCGCTATTTTGGGTTAACTCCTGTATCATGCAGCACTGTCTTTTAAGTATCTTTGTGTTTTATTTCCCTAAAAATGACAGATCTGTGCCTGCGTCCTATGAAGAGCTTGGTGCAGTTCATTTTTCATAACTTCTATGTTGTTCAAAAGTACATTTTCAGCTTGGTTGACACTTTTTTTTCCAATATTGATGATATGTTTCTTAATGCATTCTAACAATTTATTGTGAAATTAGCGATTTTTGTAACTTGTTACAATATTATGTCATATTTTCTTTGATTGTTTGAGGAAATTCATTATGAAATGACGGCATAAATATTTGTGTTGGTGTTTATTGACATTGAATTTGATGTGATTGCTGGAGTGCTTTGTTGTGTCAAACATTTTTGAATTTGGATAAATGAAACACGTTCTTAATATTATTAACTTATGAATTTTCTTAAACTATTGATTAAGTCGGTTTATTGGCCGACAGTTTCATGGTTTCACAATCTGATAGATCTAACGATTTGAGTCTTTTTGGTAAACTAGAACACAAAACTCTTGCATAACTGGTATGGTGTGAGCATGGATAAGACGAACCAGTAGAGTTGTAGGATTAAATGTTTAGGCTAAATAAAATCTAGTTTTCATGTCAAGATGGGTAATGGAATGATAACCAAATTAAGTGGTTCTTGACTGAAAAATAATATGATTTAGAGCTGAACATGTTGAAACTAACTGGCTCAAAATTATGTTAGCTTTTTGACTGATATTTCTTGTTAGGACGTGATAATAATTCAAGGTGTTGGTTCAAAAAGTTGATCTTATCTTATGCCCACATAGAATTGCTAATCAGATTAAGAAATCATGTTAAACCTTGTCTTGTTCCTGAGCTCGCAGTTGCATACAAAATAACGTACGTTTAGGAATCTAGAATGATTACCTAACATTTAATTTCCAGCCAGGGGATGCCAAGGTTGTTAAGCTTATCAGCATTGGTGGGAAGAAGGTTATCAGAGGTGGAAATGCAATTGTAGATGGTGCTATTGGTATTGTCCAGCTTGACATGGTCATGGATGTTGTTAAAGCACGGGGATTTGGAAATATAGATCAGCCTGAGGCCAGGTTTATTTAGTAGTTTTTTTTTTAACAATGCATGTTTATGATTATGTTGCCCTAATAACTGTCTAGAATCAACTGAAGGGAATGGTGATCAATTTTTAGTTTTTATCCATATGTCCCATGGAGTGATTTAAACTATTATGGTTCCGCTTGGAATCACTTAACCTTTCCATTCATTTACCACTTGTGTAAACAATTTTAAGATTTCAAAAACTTAGTTTGCACTAGGTGCTATGACGTTTTGTTGCAGTGATGGTGTCACTGGAGTTAATTCTGCCTTCACAACTGAAATATCACGTGAGAATTATGCAAACCTGTATGGACCAACTACCGGTGACAAGATACGGCTTGGTGATACTGAGTTGTATGCAGAAATTGAAAGAGACTTTGCTGTTTATGGTGATGAATGTGCATTTGGTGGTGGAAAAGTTCTACGTGATGGAATGGGACAAGCTTCAGGCTATCCATCTTCTTCCTGTCTGGAGATGGTCATCACAAATGCAGTAATCATTGATTATACTGGAATATACAAAGCAGATATTGGCATCAAGGGAGGTATTATAGTTGATATTGGAAAGGCTGGGAACCCTGATATTATGGATGGTGTACACTCGAGTATGACTGTGGGGGTACATCTCTTTTCAACTGTTAGACATGTGCTTCCTTATTGGATATTTAGCAATTTCATGGATTCTTCCAGGTGAATACAGAAGTTATTGCAGCAGAAGGCATGATTATAACTGCGGGAGGCGTAGACTGTCATGTGCACTTTATATGTCCTCAGCTTGCACAAGAGGCGATATCAAGTGGTTAGTTTTTTTAATTCGTTTTGATTGTTTATCAATTGTAAGCACTTTAAATTAATGCTAGTTGACTATGCCTTTTCTGCCTTGTATTCTTATCAAAAGTTCTTTACTTGCTCTTAGCTGCATATTAGGAAGCAGCTTTGGTAATTTCACGCACTCCATAATTGTTGGGTGTTTATGCTATTACTTGAATTTTATAACCTTACTATGTTGTTTTCATTTGAGTTATCCAAATGCTTTTTACCATGACGTTGCTAGATGTGAACAATTTAAAAGTGCAATATAGCTAATAAATAGTCTGATGCGTCAGGAATATTAGTAGGAGAATGTTCATTGGCCTCAACTCTAAAATGCTCAATTATTTTGTTACAACATTTGAAATTCTTAATACATATCAAATTAGCCTTGGACATAATAAAAAAATTTTCTTTAATACGATAAATCACTCTCAAGTGATTCATTTTAATACTCTAATGCTTATAATTATTTATTTCCATCCAAAATAAAACCAAAATATATAAATCAGAATGATAATTTTGATGTTACATTTGACAGAACCCTTTATATTATCCATCCACTTTTGAAATTTTGATAGTAATTAAATTTAGGGTTAGAATTTGATCCTTTGAAAGTGTTATCCAAACAAATCTAGTTTTACCACAATAGTCTTATTCACAAATACATGATTAACAGTTTCAATGTGCTTGCAATATTGGTATTTAGAAGGTAGATAAAAGCCTTTGTTCCATAATAGAGTATCATTAAACATAAATTTATGGATGATCTAATATAATAAAGAACAAGAGTAGGGATC